GAAGATGCTACCATGGAAGATGACAGATTCTCCTTCATTGGAAGTTTTCAAACACAGAATTAGTGGCTTTCAGCCATTGGTGCTTTACCCAGCACACTTACTCCAGCAACAGGGGTTTAGAGTCAATCATTTTAAGGTCCCTTCCAACTCTAAATCTAGGACTGGGGCTGTAAATACACAACCTTAAGGCTGCATGCAGCTCCTTCATCCATTTTGAGGCTTCTCCCTTTTCTGTCATTTCAGAATAGAAAAAGGCACTCTGCCCTGTAGACTTTGCAAGGTTCCATGGTGTGGGAGGGCACACAGGCATGCTCCTGCACCCGAGATCTGCTGCACTTCAAAGCAGATTTTGGTGACGCTGCAGTAATGAATGAATCATAGTCTTAAATTTGGAAGGGACCATAAGGGCCATTAGTCCAACTCCCTGTTGAGCATCCCTAGAGCATCCCTAAAAGATGCCCATCCAATCTCTGTTTAAAGACCTCCCATGATAGAGAGTCCAACACTCACTGAGGCAGTCTATTCCACAATTGGATACTTCTTGCAGTAAAAAAGCTCTTCTTAATATTTAACTGGAATATCGTTTCTAGTAATCTGAATCCTTTGGATCATGTTCTAGTTTCTGGAACAGCATAAAACAAGATGGCTCCATCTTCTCACTTCAGATATTTAAAGATGGCTATCATATCACCTCTTAATATCTCCAGGGTAAACATATCCAGCTCTCCATGTTGGAAAAAGCTTTCCTTGCTAAATTTCTGTTGGTCAGGCACCCAAACAAAAAAGAAGCAGTTGGCAGTCAAAATGGAAATTTTCTCATATATCACGGTATGCTGAGGTTTTATTCACTCTGGCCATTTGTGGAAGTGTTTCAATCCTTATGTTCAGAAATATCCCCTTAAAAGTGCTTCAAAATCACTTTTAAGCCCTGAAAAAACATTCTCAAACTTGCCCAGTACTGCCATCTGATGGTGCTACAAGTACCTTATTTTCTGGCATATAAGACTACTTTTTAACCTGCAAGATCTGGTGTTAAAGTTGGGGGTCGTCTTATACGCCGGGTATAAGGAGGTTCATGATAGGTTTGCCTTAGTGTCATCATCAGTTGGAAATGACTTGAAGGTGCACAGCAACAACAACAACAGTTTTGGAAGTCACACTCTTCCCAAACTCTATATTTTAACTGGAAAAGTGGGGGGTCGTCTTATACGCCCAGTGGTCTTATACGCCAGAAAATACGGTATATACTGTAGCTATGTTCCCTTTGTCATAGTGCTTGATCTAGATATAGCTATAATTTTGCATCTTGAAAAATCCCAAAGTCTGTTACTTGAAAATGTAACTAAAAAGAATGAAGGAAAACAGACACAGTTCATTGTATGTTTGATTCTGATTAGCCAAATCTGCCTATAATAATAATAATAATAATAAATTTTATTTATATGTTTCATTTGCTACTTTTCAGGCCCTATTTTATTTTATGATTTCTTCAAAAATGTCAAATTCTTAGCAATTTTGGTTCTTCTTTCATTGAGGGTACATTTACACTGTAGAAAAAATCCCGTTTGACACCCACCTTAAGTGCTGTAACTCCATCCAATAGAGTCCTGGATTCGTAATTTTACAAAGTCTTTAGACGCCTCTGCCAAAGAGTGTTGTTACTACAAATCCCAGAATTCTACTATGGCAGTTAAAGTGGTGTCAAACTGCATTATTTCTAATGGAGATGCACTCTGGGTGAAGAAGACCTGTGACTAATATTACATTGAGGCAGGAAGCAGCAGGCAAAGACTGGGAGGTGATGGGAGGAATGGGGGTGAGAATAGGAGGTACAGTGCGACAGGGAGTATGAAAAGATCCTAGCCCTGACTATTGGAAACCCCAGCTGGATTCTCTGTAATCCCTTACCAGAACCATCGCATACCTTTCACCCTTTCCTTGCAGTGCGGAGGACTGAAAACATATCTTTTAAGTCAAACTTGAGGCATACATACAAACCAGCATTTCACGATGGAGGGCTCTTAGTGCCAGCAATCAGAATACAACATTCAGCTATCTTGACGTTTCTTCCTTAATGGATTGCCTGCATTCAGATAAAAGATGGAAGAATTGGGGGGGAAATATAGGAGGTTTACAAACAGAAGCAACATCTGGACTTTCTGTAAATGTCCATGAGTGATGCAGGGTGGCAACCAGTGTGGCATAGTGGTTTGAGTGTTGACTACTCTGGAGATCTGGGTTTGATTCCCAGCTTGGCCATAAAACCTATTGAGTGATTTTGGGCAAGTCACATGCTCCCAGCCTCAGGGAAAGGCAATGGCAAACCTCCTCTAAACAACTCTTGCCAAGAAAACCCCATGAAAAGGTCGCCGTAAGTCGGAAACGACTTGAAGGCACACAACAACAGTAACAACAATAACAACAAAAAAGCAATAAAAGCATCACCTGGAAGGCATCCAATTAACCAGAAACATATGAACAGAGGATACTCCTGCCTCATGCCAAATATAGAGCCTGGGAAAGTTATCTTTTTAGACAACAACCCTCTGAATTGGATTGGAATACACTTTTCCATATATTTCCTCTCCCTCAATCCTCTTTGAACTGCTTCACACTTGCAAGCATATGACCTGTTCTCTTTGCCATTTGTTAATTGTACATTCAGTGACTGAGAACTGAATGTATGGACTGCTTCCACTGATAAGTACCAGAGGTGAAATGAAAGCTTCTGTTTGTGGTGTTAGAACTGTGATGGCCAATTCAAATGTACAAATCTCACGTTACTGAACCCACATTTGGGAACTAGAGGGAGAATCTCAGAATGGGCTTTCCACTGGAAAACCAATTAACCACAAAAAATGCTAACTCTTGTACAGAAATGCCAAAATGGGAGATTCTCTGTAGTAGATATCTAATCTGAAAATGAACTAAGAAGTCATATTTCACACCTCACATCCTTCAGCCATATAGGTTTCAATATCTGACCTTATACACAGGGACAATTCTTAACCCAAATTAGAGAGGAAAAGTAGGCATAGGTACCAACTCTAATGCTTCAAAACGAATGTCAACAATCATTAGCTATCCCTCTGTAATGCACAGCAAAGGCAGAAGAGCTGGAAAATTTATTTAATATTTATATGAAGTCGCTGGAAGAGATCATTAGGAGACATGGAGCAGGATGTTACCAATATGCGGATGATACTCAAATATTCTGCTCCATGTCTCGGTCAGATGCCATGACAGCTGATGGCAGTTCTCCCCTCAATCAATGTCTCAAAGCGGTAATGGACTGGATGAGGAAAAACCAACTCAAGTTGAATCCAGACAAAACAGAGGTACTTATGGTTGGGGGCCCCAAACCAGAGATTGGGTTGTGACAGCCAGTCTTGGATGGGGTCACGCTCTCCACCAAGGACTGCATCCACAGTCTGGGGGTGCTCCTGGACTTGTCGCTTCACATGATAAATCAGGTGAATGCAACGGTCAGGAGCGCCTGTTATCAGCTTCGGTTGATATGCCAGCTGTGCCCTTTCCTGGAAGTAAGAAACCTAGAAGCCGAAGTAAATACACTGGTACCCTCACGACTCGACTTCTGTAACACACTCTACATGGGGCTACCCTCATACCTAACTCGAAAACTGCAATTAATACAAAACATGGCAGCCAGATTGATCACCGGAACATCAAAAGGTGATCATATCACTCCCATCTTGAAATCATTGCACTGGCTGCTAATTAGTTTCCAGGCACAGTATAAGGTGTTGGTATTGACCTTTAAAGCCCTACATGGCCTGGGCCCATCTTACCTAGGGAATCGCCTATCTCCATATAATCCGCCCCATGCCCTTAGGTTCTCTGGGAGGAAGTTGCTTCAACCAATAAGAACTAGGCTGACAACGACCTCCCGGAGGACCTTTTCTGCCGCGGCCCCCAGATTATGGAATGCCTTACCGGAGGAGATCCGTCAAATAACCAACATAGGGGGGTTGCAGACTGCCAGAAATAGTGCAAATTGAGTCCACTTTTAGGGTTAGGGTTAGTGCTAGGGAATCATGGGAACTGTATTTTATTGTGGCACCAGAGCTCTCTGACAGAGAAGGCTCAATGTCTCAGAAAAAAAACAATTCCCATGATTCCCTAGCATTAACCCTAACCCTAAAAGTGAACTCAATTTGCACTATTTCTGGCAGTCTGCAACCCCCCTTAGATGGCTTTAAAAAAACCATCAAGATGGATCTCTTCCGGCAGGCTTTCCCGGAATAACAAATTCTCCCCCCCCCTTCCGGCCACCACATAGTTTCTTCCGAGATGTCTACAGTTGCCGCTGTCTGTCCATGTTAGATGTTTATTGTTTTATTGTAACTGAGATTTTAATCTGTATAACGATTTAATACATTTTTAAGGGCGTTTATTTTGTCATTGATTGTATGGGTGTATCCTTTTTTAACTTGGAAGCCGCCTTGACAGCCTCAGCTTAAGGCGGGGTATAAATAAAGTTTTATATTATTATTTATTATTATTATTATTATACACAGGGACAATTCTTAACCCAAATTAGAGAAGAAAAGTGGGCATGGGTACCAACTCTAATGCTTCAAAACAGAACAAACGGCAGGAATTGTATCTGACATCAGGGGAATGTCAACAATCATTAGCTATCCCTCTGTAGCATAACAATGCACAGCAAAGGCAGGAGAGCTGGAAAAACAGGGGGGGAAATTAAATGAGACAAACCCCCTCCCAATCTTTCTTTCCAGTGATCAGAGGCAAATTTGTGGCTGTCAGCAAGGAGCATGTGAACATCTCAGCAGGAGAACCTGTCTGGTGGATGCGCCATGAGATCAAAACTACCAAGGTAAGCAACTTCTCCTACTGGAACAGACTTGGAAAGCTATCAGTGGCATCCTCTAAAGCACCATTAACAGAAGAAAGAAATGAACTGGTAGAAAAGTCCATTTCTCTATGTTGTTGTTTTTCAGTGGCTATACATCTACCAAGACAGCATGGTGTAGTGGTTTGAGCACTGGACTATGACTCTGGAGACCAGGGTTCAAATCCCTACTCAGCCATGAAAGCTCACTGGGTGACCTTGACCAAGTCACACACTCTCAGCCTGAGAGGAAGGCAAAGGCAACCCTTCTCTGAACAAATCTTGCTGAAAAACCCCTGTGATAGGTTTGCCTTAGATAAGTTGGAAATGACTTGAATGCAGGCAAGAACAAATTCATCTACCAAAGGTGGGGAGAGACCTTGGTCCTCCAATGGATGTAGATTACAATTTTCATGAGCCCCAAGCAGCATAAGCAGTGGTAAGAGATTGTCTAAATCAGGGATAGGCAACCTGTCCCCTTTAAGGGCCGAGGGACTTCAGCTCCCAGAAGCCTCAGCCATGTTGGCCAATAGTCCCATGTTGGCCAACATTTCCTGGGATTCTGGGAGCTGAAGTCCCTCGGCCCTTAAAGGGGAAAGGTTGCCTACCCCTGGTCTAAATTGTGGCTCACAATATCTAGAAACTAACCTTTCCACACCACTGGTCCTTGAGTTCAAAGACAACAAGCTTGCAAGAGGCATCCCTTCTAATACTTGCTTTAAGGGAATACTACTACACCACAGGATATACTGATCATATCTAACATACCAGAACTCTGTATTCTTCCTTATTTTAATCTAGCTTTGACATTTTAATTCCTACCCCATACCCACTAAACTCTTGAGAGAAACTCCCCCTCAAGTATGACATGTATTCCCATTTTAAATAAGTGGAACAAAACAGAGGCTAAGATATAACTATTTGTTTGAGGAATGTATATTACAACTGAGATTTAAACTCTGGTCTTCCATGTACAGTTAGTTTGAGGAGTCTGCACCTTTGCTCTGAAGTAAAGACTATTGGTTTTGCACAAAACACCATGTTGTTTTCTACACAATGGATTTTTGAACAAAATTCCTATTTTTGCACCAAACATTTTTTTCACTTTCTTGCTATGGCTGACAGAGAAACAAGATTAGGTTTTTCTTCAGTACTTTTTCATTTTTCAAACACAAACGAAAATCTCAGCAGTTCTTGCTACAGGGTGACAATATGCTCAGTCTCCTCAAAAGCTTAATCTGCATTAATGTACAATAGTTTGACACCACTTCAACTGTCATAGCTGAATGCTATGGAATTCTGGTGCCACAACAAACTATAAATACTAGGATTCCATAGCATGAAGCCATGGTAGTTAAAGTGGTGTCAAACTACATCATTTCTGCAGTGCAGATACAGCCAAAGCCGAGAAAAGTTGCAAATTTACCTGTCTGCAACCTACACATGTCCCTACAGTGGCCCTTTGGTTGTTAAATAACTCTTCTTCTCCCCTGCCTCTCCCCAGGTGTACAAGGGTCCTGAGGAGATGCAAGACGTTCGCTTTCTCCACACCCCAGCCATGGAAAGTCTCTGTGGATATGAATACAAGGGCTCTCCCAAAGGAGAAGAATATGTCATTGCAGGTAGGAATTCCATTCACTGTCTGGGACAATCTGGGACGGTTTAAACTCAAGACATATTTTTGTTCCTTACCCTTGAATCTTAAAAAAGCAACCACCCCTCTGCTCATAACCTATACAAGTGTAGATAGGAATTTGCCATGTCATGGGGCATTTCACTGAGATGTATATTTCCAGGGGGAAGCCATAGTACTTAATGATGAAAGAAACGCACTTTGTGCATGCTCAGATATCTTGTTAGCAAACTATACATGAAAAAAAATACTCTTAGTATGGTTGTTTCCTTCAGTGCCAGGTCTGGACTAATCTTGTTGGAATAAGGAACCTTTCTCTTGTCTTGGGAAACAACTTTGAGGTTCCATTAAGAGGTTGGAAATAGCCAGCAATGGAAATGTATTATCTTCAGAAGTAAGAAAACAAACCCCCAAGGGAAGACTTATCAACTAGTATCAACTAGCACACAAATGCAGCACTACTGCTGATGCTCTTTCTATCCAGTTTTTGCTACATCCACACTGATCCTGCTGCAAGGCAGGCAGAAGATGCCCTATCTCCCTTTAATCTTCTCCAGGTTTAACAGACAGACCTCTTTAAAGCCATTCCTCAGATCCTTCTCAATCACTCTCCTCCTGAGTTGCTACAGTTTGCCAAAACCCACCTTAAAATGCAGAAATAGACACAACACTCTAGGTGTGACTTATGATTTTGAAGATCAGTTTGAAAATGCTAACATTTTAGAAGGCAAAGAGAAAATGGAATAAGATGTCCAGTGGAGAGGGTTTAGTACAGCTAGATATGACTAGCAAAGCCAGAATAAATTATGCAAAAATATTAAACTCAGGAAAAATGGCTCAATTAGCATTATTATCCAGGTCAAAGAATTCAGATCTATTTTTGTCATGGGATTTGCATTGCCCAGGCACAGAAGTATATTTCAATCCTCAAGGGTTGATTATATTCAGCCCAGTTTATGGTCATCAAAATATGTGATATTACTGATACCCTTTCAAGCCAGGTCGCATCCAAGTTATGAAAACAAAACCTGCAGCTGTGACATACCAGGTATAGCTTGACAAGAAGAAGAGTCTACATTCTCTTCCTTCAAGCTCACAGCTGCTTCTCTCTCACTCTCTTTTTCACCTCCAACAGGAATGCTGGAAGGTGATCGTGTTATGATCACAGCCTGCTCTTTCATCCAGCCATGGGCTCAGCTAACTCTTGCACAGAAGCGAGGCTTGAGTTCAGACTACAGCAAGGGCTGCAACTGCACCGTAAGTGTCTGGCTATCATAAGGGGGGATGATATGTCTCAGGGCTGCAGCAACCTCACTTTTTTAGATTTAAAAGATCAGACACATGTCAAGAGATTTGCAAGGATGTGGGGCCCACAGTAAACCTAATAAACAACAGTAAACCTAATCCATTCCCTGAGGAATTCTTTTTAAGCGAAGCTTAAAAGCTAATGTCATGTCATACCAATTGGAAACAAGACAGTAAAAGATGCCAACTCTTCATCAATGTTTTTGAGACTAAGGGCCTTTGCAGACTGCTAGAAATAGTGCAAACTGAATCCACTTTAACTGCCCTGGCTCAATGATAGGGAATCATGGGAATTGTATTTTTTCTGAGACATTGAGCCTTCTCTGTCAGAGAGCTCTGGTGCCACAATAAACTACAGGTCCCATGATTCCTTAGCACTGAAGGGCAGTTAAAGTGGCCTCAATTTGCACTATTTATGGCAGTCTGCTAAGGCCCATAGTACCTCAGCCTTACATTTAACAACTTGCTTGGTAGCTACAGACTTCTTTTCAAGTGAGTCAGCAGGAAGATGGACAAGAGACATCTCTTTGGTGATTCATATATTGTCCAAATGCATCTGAGGAAGTAGACTTTAGTCTGTGAATGCTCATGCTGCCAAATTCTTTCTTTCAGTTAGTCACAAAAGTGTTACAAGATCTCTCTATATACTGATTCTACAGACTAACATGGCTATATCTTTGAATTCTAAGCAACATCTCTATCAGCAGAAGGATGTATGTATGGAGGGGAGACAAAAATGAGGGCATTCCCCCCTCAAATAAGAATTCTGCCCCCACAAATGAATTTTTCCTTCAATTCCCCAATTTTCTAGCATTGCAGAAACTTTCAGTTGAAATTTGAAAATAAAAATTTTAGGCCTCCAAAGAAAAGGGGCAGCATGTTATCCAAGAAAACATGAGCACAGTAAATATGAGCAAGTTCTAGATGTGAATGATTTCCAATCTCTCTCTCTCTCTCTCTGCAAAGCTAGAAATTTGAGGACTGAAGGAGAATTTCATTCCAAACAACAGGAACCGTGTCTCTCAGCAACATTACTTAGAGAACTCCATACTCAGTAAAGGAGAACTAGAACCTCTTCCTTTGGGATCAACCTAGAAAGGCAACCCTCTAGCTCTTAAAACAAAATTGCAGGCAATGAGCTTTTGTAGGCTTGCAATGCTGCATTTGTCAGAGTCTACTATGAAAACAAAATGAGAGAAATAGAATTGGTGCAGCTAGCCTTATATGGAACCAATGTTTGCATATTTTACTCTGTGGTATAAATGAGCAAGTATCTAAAATTATGGGTGCATGGTGGAGATTCACATATTGTCAGACAGCCCAGTAAAAGCACAGAAGGGCACAGTGATATGAGCATTAGCTATAAGGGTGCAATATTTTAAATGGCTGAAGGACTAAAAAGCCTGCTGCTCATTCCCACTTGGCTTTGCCTTGCCTGATGTACAGGATCACGCTACTTCAGTGACAAAATCTTTGTTGCTATTCATGTTGCAGTGCTCTTTTACATTGCACAAGAAGGTTATAGTAAAGATCTGTCCGGCCTTATCTTAGACTGTGAAAAAAAAGGATTGACATCATTGGGACTGGCAAACTGCGGATGCAAAATAGGAAACTCTCAAAGGGCTAGAAGGCCATTGGTTTGCTTATCTCCAAATTAGGGGAGTTTAGACTACAGCAGATACAGGAAGGGAATGTTGCAGGGTGCACTGCATGAAATAGAACATCTAATCTCTTCCTCTTTCCTCATATGCCTCGATCCTTCTTTCTTCAATAGATTGTGCCCTGCATTTCCATGCCATGTTCCGTCAACGCCGACAATCAGTGCCTGTGGACAGATGGGATCATGTCTCGGATATGGGATGATTTCCAAGCCAAACGCTTGGCCTGCCTTCCCCGGGCAGAAAAACCCAGCCTCTGTACCTGGCAATCCCTCAGCATCCAAAGGCCGGGGGCCCTTCGCAAGGCTCGCCTGATGCAGTGACATCTTCATGGACTCTGATAAAGCTGGGGCTCCACTCCGTGAATAACCCCCTCTTCACCCATTCTCTTCCCTGTGATGTCTCTTTTTAAATAAATGCCAGTTCCAAACCCATTCACTTGTTCTTCATTGTGGAAACTGTATGAGCACTCCTCCAAGGATACAACAACCAAGGCCTATAAAGACAAATGCAGCCATCTGTCTGAAGAATCTGGAAACTCTGGGCTTCTGTTAAGAGTGAGCTGCTAGGCCTTTTCTCTGGAGAAAAACTAGGATATCTGTG